TGATCAGGATCACTAGCCGAGTCGATCTAGCCACGTCCGTCTGTCTGTCCGTCTGTCTGTCTGTCTGTCCGTATGAACGCTGAGATCTCGGAAACTATAAAAGCTAGAGGATTGACATTTTGCATGCAGATTCTAGGAGTTCCTACGCAGCGCAAGTTTGTTTCAAAAGGGTGCCACGCCCCCTCTAACGCCCACAATCGCTTGTATACGATTTTAAAAATTTCAATATTTTGGAAAAGTAAAAATGCAGTTTTGTTGTGTTTATCAATACCTATCGAAATGTAGAAGAATTTTTTTAAATCAGACCATTCGTTAAAAAGTTACGGCGGATCAAAGTTTTTATCTCCATCTCCTTCGCATTCCCTTTAGCTGAGTAACGGGTATCTGAAATTAGGTTGTCAGGACTTTCTTATGTCTTATTTGCGCGTTTGCTGAAAACCTTTGCGTAAACAACCTTTCTAGAAGATTCTTCCAGAGAGAGAATCCGAAGGCTACTGGTAGAGCTATATAATAAATGAATGCGATCTAAGTAAAAGTCTTGAACTTGTATACTTTTTATCAGTTACAATGTTATCAATGCAATTTTAATTTGCGCACAAATGTACACTTGCTTGTAAATTGGAATTTGTTATTTTTAAATTTATTGTTTTGAATGAAACGAAAACATTTGTACACACACGAAAAGATTGACATCCCATACAAAAGTAGCGAAGTAACTTATTTTTTTCCGATTCCACATTTGATTGATAATTATTAATTTTAAACTCTTCCAATTTTGCATTAAGCACATTATGTACTTTCAAGTAGAAACATAAGCACACATTGTGTGTATGTATTGCATTGTACAAATCAAAACATTTCTTAATATGCATATGTACATACGTATTTGATGAAAAGTTAGAATCTTAAGATTAATAATTAACTTGGAAACATTTTGGCTTTGTTTACAGATTTTGTAGTAATTTTTTATCTTCTTCCATGGTGGAAATTAAATAAGGCTCGTACTTCTGCTACAAAATGAAAAATATTTTTTGAAAAATAAAACCTAGTCATTTGATCTACAGGACTGACTATTGATCGAAAATCATATTGATCGGAACAAATTTTAACTTAAATTTCACTTTTCCCCTCCCCCTTCCCTGCAGCACTACCTCTCCCCCTCATCAGTTTTCTTGGCTGCTGCTCTCACGTCCGTCGCTCTCTTGGCATCCGCTCTCTGGGTTTCGCTCTCTCGGCGGGCTTCCACAAAATGCAACGCAATAACTTAGGAAATCTAAATAAATTCGTTAAAAAACTTTTAAAAAATGTTAAAAACTTAAAAAATTAAACTTAAGTATTTGGGCCATAGAATAACCATTTACCAAAAAATCATCTCGATCGGAGCAGCGGTTTAGATTTTTCTAATTAGGTCCTTTCAAGACCTAAAATTCTGCAAAATCAAAATTTCGAAATTCCAACCACTTTAGAAGCTAAGCTTAAGTAAATCTAATGATTTTTTGCTCTAAATATGGATATTGGAGCTTAGTGGGCGCCTACGCCCCCAACGGAATACTGTGAAAAATTTGGCTGCTCTAGCTCTTATGGTTTAGGCTGTGGTCGTATCCCCCTAAAAATCGGTCATTCATTTTATAATCTTTAGAGATATTTATGTGCAAATATGTAAATACACTTAAAATATAAATACGAGCGCAGAGCGCGCACAGAGCGAACAGAGGAAAGAAGAGTACAAAGAACGTTTGTCAACGGTGATAGGGAAGAAGATTTTCGTGACGGTCATGAATTGGTTTTACTCCGGCCCCGAAAATGCATACGCGCCCAAAGAAGTTTTTCTTCAAAAATACTTTACTAATTGTATGGCATAGCTCTATACTTTAAACCAAAAACGAATCCAATCGCATAATCGGTGCGGAAAAATTAATTAAGTGCCTTAACCGGAAGTCGGTTGGGGCTCATCTTCTGGGCTTTCAAAGATTTCCACAAACAAAGCTGAAAATAAAACTATCAATTTGTTTGGTTGAAAACTGTAGAAATGGTTGATGTTTTAATCAAGCAATTTCGCATTTTTGGAGAGTCCTGGGAGTCCTTAGGAGCCAAATTTGAAAAAGTCCTTTCTTAGTGCACACCTCCTCTAACACACGATTCAGACAAAATTTTTCCAGAATTTTAGGTCTTATGGTTTGGGCTGGGAGAACATGTCGCAAATCGACATCTACTCTTTTATAGTAATACTCGATGGCCTTTCTAGAAATACTGCCGTTTATGATAAAATTAAAAACCATTACTTATGTACTTTGTACAGCCCAAAACATTTTAAAAAAGTTATGGCAATACACACTATTAATTTTACATTTTTTAACCTTATTGAATTGACCAGTTAAAGCTATTTGAATCAAAAATTTCAAATTTAACGTTTAAATTCTAGGTAACCATGCCATCTTATCCAAAAAAAATCATTTGTCCTCTTCGAAGCCTCTAATGAATACTCTAATGAATGAGCCGAACAATGTAGTAGAATAACTGCATTGTGAGATCGAAAATACTGAAGTCAACATCGATGAGAACGGTTTTTATTCTCGGTGTATTAAAATGGGCAATACTACAATAGTAATTATCTGGGTACAATTCTGATGTATATGTTGGTACTAAATGTAGTTTTTACTCATTGTGCACTTGATAAGCAAAAAGCGCCCCAACATTTTTATACCTTCGCAGAGGGCATACATTTTTCAGTCAGAAGTTCGCTGCCAGTGAAGGAGACGTCTCCGACCCTACAAAGCAGGGACCGAAAATAATGATTATTTTTTTTGAGTAAAAAATAAAAATCTCCATTTAATGATTATTTTGTAAGCGAATAAAATATCGCTCAGAAATAATGATTATTTTGTGAGCGATATTATTTCGCTTAAAATATCACTCAAAGTGTGATTGTAGCCGTCTTACGCAGAATTTTACAATTATTTAAATGTGCACTTGTAGGTAGAACCATAAAGCACATATCCATCTAAGAAAAAAATACATTTTCTTTGTATAAACCGCAAAAAAAACGGGTGGCTTTTGTATAAAAAAAAATTTTCTGTGGGAATCGAACTCGTGCTTACAGCACGGGGGACCAACACACTAACACCCAGCCCACATGTCGGGTTGGGTCTGTGTGGAATAGTTCATAACATCTTGTTAAGTCGTTTTGCTAATATATAAATGACATAAAGTCCTAAGGTTGCTACAACTTTTTGTATTTATGCATACCTCTTGTAAACTAATAACCGCGTTTTTAAAAGTTTATACAAAGAAAACACCTTATTTTATTAACTCAATATGTGCTTCGTGGTTCTACCTACAAGCACAAATTTAAATCTTTCTAAAATTCCGTACAGAACGGCTGCAATCGCACTTTGAGTGATATTTTTAAGCGAAATAATATCGCTCACATAATAATCATTATTTCTGAGCGATATTTTTTTTCGCTTACTAATAACACTGTGCAGCATTTGTAGTGCTTTTTAAATTTACCTCGATGGATGCTATATTTTTGGATTCGTTACGAATTCCCAAGTTAAACTGCGTTTTCCAAAAAGTTCCCCGACGCAAGGATTCTTAGCAAAAGGACCTCAAAGTTCGAAAAATGCTGAAATTGGCCAACTTTGCGGAGCTCTCAGAGGCAAATGGATGCATGGTTTGATTCGATGTTAAAGTTTTTTAAAAGATACACCCTTTATCTTTTAAACCACATACTTAAAAATTTTTTAAGATTTTTATTAAGGCAGAAACAAATTCTAGAAAACATAGTCAAAAAACATAAAAGTATACAGCTGCGGTCAAAATGGTAGTAGTGTTGCCGCCCTGTGTATTTAAAAGTTTGTTGTTGTAATTGATATTTTCCTGGTAATATTGTATTGATTATAATTTTACTATTAGACTAATTGGATAAGAAAAAATTACAACATGAAACTTTTAAAAACACAAGGCGGCAACACTGCTACTATTTTGACCGCAGCTGTATGTTTTTCAGTTGTTTTTTGGAATTTATTTCTGCCTTAAAAAAAATCCTGAAATTATTTTATGTATGGGGTTTGAAAGATAAAGGGTGTATCTTTTAAAAAACTTTAACTTCGAACCAAGCCATGCATCCATTTGCCTCTGAGAGCTCCGCAAAGTTGGTCAATTTCAGCATTTTTCGAACTTTGAGGTTCTTTTGCTAAGAATCCTTGCGTCGGGGAACTCTTTGGAAAACGCAGTTTAACTTGGGAATTCGTAACGAATCCAAAAATATAGCATTCATCGAGGTTAATTTTTGATGCTGCATAGTGTAATCATTAAAGGGTAATTTTTATTTTTTCACTTATAATGATTACGGTCCCTGCTACAAAGTTAACTAGACAATTCGATCTAACCATGTCCGTCTGTCTGACCCTTTCTTTTTGAAGTAGTCTTTTAGCCTTTTTAATATTTTAGATTTAAGTATTACATTTTACAACAAGAAAGAACGCTATAGTCGAGTCCCCGACTATCAGATACCCATCACTCAGCAAAGGGAGTGCGAGGGAGATGGAGATATAGAACTTTGATTTCAGCGTTCATCCGGACGGACAGACCGACATACAGACAGACAGACATGGCTAGATCGACTTGGATAGTGACCCTGATTAAGAATATATATTCTTTATAGGTCGGAAATGCTTCGTTCTAGCTGTTACATACTTTTGCACGAACACAATATACAATTTACTTTACGAGTAACGGGTATAAAAATAAGGCAAATAAATTATATAGCTGCCATAAAAACGATAGACATTTTTTTGGAACATAAGCACGAGTAAATTTTAAAGTACATTTTTTTAATGTTATATTTTAGTTTTGTAGGAACGATATTTAAGGGTATATAAACATTGGCTTTCAGAATTTAATTTAATTTCTTATCATTAGATTTTACCACACCTAGTAAGTTTTTACTTTCAGTTCGATATGGGCTTCAATTGCCAGTACTTAAAGAGACTCGGGAACGTTAATATGCCGTCAAAGAAATAAAAGAGTGTAAGAAGCTAGAGCCCACCATCATTGATAAGATTTCAATAAAATTCAAATGAATAAATAAACCCGTTCGAAATGTTACCGGTCAATTGAAGTGTCAACATGTTTAGATTCATTGTTTTTTGTATCCTTATTCGCAATAGCTGCGCGAAAACCATTCTTGTCGAAGAGCTTACAAAATGGACATTAAGAAATGAAACCTCGTGTAAGTGGTTCCATTATTTTTGTACGGTCGGCCCACGCTAAAACTGAGATATGTGCAGCAAGATAAGATTAAAACTGCTTTATTTACTTTGACTGTTTGATGGAAATTGTATGCACTCTAATTAATTGGCTTTATAGACAATTTATATACTACCTACCATAGCTGCACTCAGAAAATGTTTACCCTAAATCGCTCTAAAAAACTGACTTCTCGCCCATGGATTAAAAAAATCATCCGTAGATCGTATCCGCGGGCCATTCGCCCGTGTATTTAGAAATATTTTTCTAAAAAATCCCTATGGAAACTTGGTGTGATTTACCGTGATTTTTCTTGAATTGAGAAATATTTTCCTGTTTTTAGGGTGATTTGCCCTAAATTTAAGGTGTATTTTTCTAAAAGTAAGGGCGAATTTTCTGATTTTAAAGGCAAATACCCTAAAAATTGAACAAATTAAAAAAAATCGTGTTTGAGCATTAGGGCGGTACAAAAAACGAAATTCTTTTCTCACCCCTTAACATGGTATATTAAAGTATGCAAAAAATGTATGTGAAAACAAAAAAAATGTTTTTTCAAGATTTAGACCTTGCGGAAGTTTGCTTTAAAATTTCTCATACGACATGTATAACAGTTCGAATTTGGTCGAAAAAAATCGCTCTCCCATTTCTTGTCTTGTCAAATTATGAGTTTTGTTGGAATAATTGGTAAAAAAAGGAGAGCAAACATCAACTGAATTGTTGATATCTATGCCACCTTGATCAGAAAAACTTTTTGATCGAAGGCAACAATGCAACAATGATAAACTTTGAAACCAATTCGCAGACCCTAAAACACGATTTTTTTAAAAATTGTCTGTTGGTATACCTTGAATACCACAATGCGCACCGTATAAGCGGGTGAGAGTTGGACCTTAAAAATTTCCATACAAATGTGGACCGCCCTATTGAGCATGCTTAACTGAATTTGGGAAGCATGTATTTCAATTGTGTATATTCTGGGAACTGGGACTGCTTTATTTAAACAACACCGGCAGAGGACACCGTTTCATGTTATTGTATTGGTGTGTAGCTATATCAGAGCTGCGTTAAGGGGGGCCCGACCTATACAGCACAACCGTTAGAAATGAAAATCATGTTTGTAAACGAATTAGGGAAATAAATATGAGGAGAAAAAACAACTTACTTTTGGTCACTGCGAGAATCGAACCCACGACCTCTCGGTTTAGAGTCTAACGTCCTACCGCTGCACCACACACCCATAGCGCAAGGCGACATACAAACTCTGCACACATCTTGAATTCTTGAGGTCTACGTTAGTATTTGACTAAAGGCAACTAAACCGTATCTTTTTTCCTGACGATTGTGACAATTAGGGCCGTTTTCTTGCCCGCAAACACAAAGTATGCTTTTAACTCAGAATTCCCATACGTTTTTAAGGTTTGAAGACTACTTTAATTTAAAATTCGGACGAAAAAATGTCCTTAGTATTATAACCTTTAAAAAGAAAACATAAAAATCAAGTTGAATCACACAGGGTTCGAACCCAAAGCCCCACGACCTTAGTCCTCATATATCAAAGTTGAAAGCGCAAGTGATTAAACCGCTGGGCTGCCGAATTTCACACTTTTGGAGTGATTTTTAAGGCAAATCGCCCTGGTACTTAGAAAAATTTTAGAAAAAAACGAGGGCAATTCGTCGTTGGATTTAGAAAACATCAAACGAGGCAAATCAAAAAAATTGCCCTAAATATTAGAAATATAGAAAAATATCCCCAAAAAGATTTTTTTATGGTCACCTGCCTTGAGTTTATGGCAAATTTGTCGTGAAAATAGAAAATTTTTCTCAGTTTAAAGGCGAAACTTTTTTTACATTTTCTAAAATGTAGAAAAATATTTTTATGAGTGTGATATTTATAACCAATTTATAAGTCCTTTCTTTACATTTTTGGATGATTTTTAGCGGTAACTATTGACGTTCCTAGACTTCCGAGCGGAGTATATACAGCGCTCAAGGATACTTACGGCGACTTGCTAGGCCCGGAAAATGACGTATCCTTGCGATGGATAGCCAACATATCCTGGATTTATAGCACTAGCTTCTACAGTGAGTCGACAGTCACATTGTGGGGCGCCTAGAACAAAAAGCCTGCCAAAATGGTTTCTTATAGTTGATTTTTCGAAACAGAATTGTAGCCGATAAGAAAAATAGATATTTTTATACACCTTTAAAATTTTTATGAAAACTCCTAAGGGCCTAATTTATATATTTAACGAATGAAACTTAAGAGCAACCAATTTTTAATTTTTTAAAAGTGGTCCAAAAAAATTTAGTTTTCTTTGGATATTGGGATATATAAGTAGTGTTACACCCTAGATCTCCGTTTAATTCTTTAAAAAAAAAAAGGCTAGATATTTAACTACAAATTCTGAAAAAATTAGCCTCCACTTTTGTGCCTCTTCTGAGAAAACCGCAGATTAAGTTAGCAAGAAATGTTCATAATTTGAAATATCGTCAGCCCTGGTTTATCCGCGCGCCCTAATGTCATGAAGATATTTTACTTATGTGAAGGTATTGATTAAGATAATAATAAATTAATATACAAATTTGGGTTTAAAATTTAAAATGATGTTATTTTACTAAAAATATAGATATGAAATAAATAACGATTTCTAACAGATTTTTTTAAATGTGCTATATTTTTTTGATTTATTCTATGACACCTATAAAATATCAAATAAAAAACCTCTTAACGAGGTAAAAAACTAGTGACGATCGCACCTTCAACGTACAAAAGTTCTGATATCAACTTTTGTGACGAAAAATGATTTTAGATGCGACTTAATAAGTACGCTACCTAAAATTTACTCGTTCGGCCCGCTTTAGCAAATATTTAATATCTACACGAAAGTTTTCTGTTGTAGCGTGCCGAAGGAATAACTATATCGTACTTATTTAGTCGCATCTAAAATCATTTTTCGTCACAAAAGTTGATATCAAAACTTTTGTACGTTGAAGGTGCGATTGTCACTAGTTTTTTACCTCGTTAAGATGTGTTTTTATACCCTTGTAGAGAGTATTATAATTTCAGTCAGATGTTTGCAACGCAGTGAAGGAGACGTTTCCGACCAAATAAAGTATATATATTCTTGATCAGCACCAATAGCCGAGTCTATCTAGCCATGTCCGTCTGTCCGTCTGTCCGTTTCTATGCGAACTAGTCTCTCAGTTTTAAAGCTATCGCGATGAAACTTTCCCGAAAGTCTTCTTTCTATTGCAGGTAGTACATATGTCGGAGCGAGCCGGATCGGACCACTATATCTTAAGGCTCCCATAGGAATATTCAAACAAATATAAGAAAATTCATTGTTACTTGTAGGAAGTAGGCGTTTTAATTCTTGACTACTTAAAAATAAAATTCAAAAATAGAAACGCTGAATCTGGAATCCCTGGAACTGCACCGAGTGAGTATTACTTTATCTACAAGGGTATATAAGCTTCGGCTGGCCGAAGGTAGCTTCCTTTCTTGTTATTTGATTGAAATAGAACGGCAGCTATAAGATATACATAGTTGACCGATTTAAATAATTTTTTTTCAAAAATCCAATTAAATTAAAAAAAATATTGTGAAACTAAGAACCCTATAAGTGATTTATTTATATTTTTTTTTCTTAAAAAAACATTTTTTTTTCTTTTAAAAATGTCCTACAAAAAAAAATTGTACTAAAAAATTTTACCTTATGATGTTTTTTACTTAGGGGAGAGGTCTGTAGGTTGGTACACCTTTTGTTGTTAATCTGCCATTTCGACATTCACTTATGAAACTTTACGCATTTGGTACTGATCGAAAGGTTAGTCTATTAGCTTAATAAAAAACAAAAATAAATAATATAATATAATATAAAATAAAAAAGTCCCAAAAAACGACATTTTGAAAAAGAAGTCTGTAACTTAAGACACTTTTAAAAGTCAATAATTCTCACACAAAAAGTACACCAAATTATAAGGAACTATTTATTTATGTTAATTTAATCAATTCTAGTTCGTCCTAAATTATTTCCCATCCATTTTTTAAGAACTTACACCAAATAACAATTAAAATCAAAAGGCTCTTTGAACATTCACTTTTCCCCTAATATCAAAAAAATGTATGTGGACTAAAAAGAACAATGTGGCAACTCTTGATAACTTGAGCGGCGAGAATCAGCGAGCGACACACGTGTGTTAATAATATTCATTATCTTTGTACTTCTAAATCTAAATAAACTTAAATGGCAAACATACTTCGCCATAGTGGTGACCCCGACAAGTAAAATCATAATAAAAGTTACTTATTGTACGAAATTGACACACGCGTTCACAATTAAGAAATTGCGCACTGAATGAACAGACGCCAATACGATTTGCGAAAAATTAAAGATAGGCGGCTAAATTTCGACGAACAAAGCGATAGCTCCGATTTTCCATTCATCATGCCGGATACAAATCCTGATTTAACTGCTCAAGTCCGAGATCTGCAGCAGCAACTCGAGGCACTTCGGACAAATGTACCTGGCAACCGGGATGAGACTACTCGCACACACACACGTACGACTGTCCACCCTCAACTATGGTTTGCGCAAGTGGAGCGGTCATTTCGATTGCACCAGATCATCGACGACACCGACAAGTTCGACCTTGTGACTCTTCACCTGGAGGAGGATGTAGTTCTGGCAGTGGAAGACTTAGTCATTCGACCACCCAACGAAAACAAGTACGTAGCAATTAAAAATCGCTTACTACAAAAATTTGCCGAATCTTCAGAGTCGAAACTACGCCGACTTCTGCAGGGTGGAGGTACATCTGGTTTAAAACCATCTGAGATCCTGGCCAATATGCGTCGACTAGCTCCGGACCCGGGCAGCGAGAACATCATTCTCACTCTTTTTCCTGGCAGAGATGCCGGCTTCAATTCGCCCCACTCTTACAGTGTGGGAAGAGACGGATTTGGATAAGCTCGCTCAGATCGCAGACAAGATGCTCGAAGCGGTACACCACAACGCCACTTTTGCGATCAGCACAAATACCACGACTGCAGCGGATCCATCTGTTTGCGCCACTTCCACCGAAGACCCCTGGAAAAAGATCAACGACAACTTGCGTTCGCTATCACAGAAGTTCGACGTATTGCAAAAGGATGTCAAACGTATCCAATCCCAAGGACGCTCACGATGAACTCATCGCGTGGCAACGTACAAACTGGAAATACGAATCAACAGGCATCTGGGCCTCAAGAGAAGCTTTGCTTCTATCACGACCGATTTGGAGAAAACGCTCAAAAGTGCCGCCCACCATGTTCCCGCTCCTCGTCGTTAAACTAAAGGAGCTGTCGCCCGACACGCTGGTCGGCGGCAGCACCAATATAACCAGCGAGCCCACAGTTCAGCCAGCTGTTCCACAAGAGCAGCGCCTACACGTCATTGATCGCACATCTCACATCCGCTTCCTCGTTGATTCTGGATCTGTAGTTTCCGTCATACCACGAACGCTGGTTAGACAAAAAACTACTCTGAGCGATTTGACTCTGTACGCAGCGAACCAGACAGTCATTCATACTTATGGAAAGTACGTCACTCAGCTGAACTTGGATCTTCGCCGCAACTTTACATGGCCGTTCATTATCGCTGACGTGCACACAGCTATAATTGGGGCAGACTTTTTGAGCAAATTCCAATTGCTCATTGATCTTAAAAACCAACGCTTGATCGACTCAATTACGGGACTATCAACCACAGCATGTCTTGCACAAGCGAAACACATATCAGTTTCCACAGTGCAGTGTATGTCCAAATTTCAACAAGAGAGAACGCTATAGTCGGGTGCCCCGACTATCAGATACCCGTTACTCAGCTAAAGGGACACAGAGAAAAAAAACCAAGAACATTGCACTCAAATCAAGAACATTCGTTCTTAAAAACCGGGTAAGCACAGATGTTCTCATTTCGAGTTGAATGTTCTCAATATCAGAACGAAATGGTGTTAGCTAAAAATCCGACATTAAGTTCACTTCGTTCTATTTTCAAGTTGATTTTGTTCTTAATTCAAGAACATTTTTAAGTCAAATGGATACAAATATAAGTTCATTTGTTCTATTTTCAGCACTTTTTTCTTTCAATTCTGTAGCATTTTGAGTTTGATTTTAGCTAAGGATAAGAGTAATTTATAAGTAATATTAAAAAGGTAGTTGTCCAATTACACCGTATAAAGGTGCGGGTTGCACTTGACTTCCAGCTAGTGTGAAAGTTTATTATAGACTTGAGCCAGAAAAAAGCCTTAAAGTCTCAGAATCTGAATTGGGCTTGGTTCATGAAGGGCTAGAACCAGTTGGGAATTACATATAAGACGAAAAGGGCAAATCTAATGTTAAAGTCGTATTGGAGCAAAGTAAAATGGTCTACTGCGTTCTAGGTGTCAAAAACATCCTAACGCGTTCTAGGAAATCCAAAAAAATTAGAGAATAGAGTTTTGAATCATTTTAAGTTGAAATGCAACTTAATTTTTGTTCTTTCTTTAGTCTTTTTCGTTCTCAAACTAAGAACATTTTCAGATATTGTGGTTTTTGAGAACCAAATCGATTTGATTTAAGAACCATGTGCTAAAATAATAACGATTCGTTCTTATTTCAAGAACATTTTAAGCTCAACTAGATTTTAAGAACCAATTCAACTTAATTCATGCACATTTAGAACATTTTAAACTTGAAAAAGGCCTTTCAATTTTTAAGAACATTTTCAACTCAGATGAGAACGTCAGAATTTTCTCTGTGGAGGATTATACATGGAGATAAAAACTTTGATCCGCCGTAACTTTTTAACGAATGGTCCGATTTAAAAAATTTCTTCTACATTTCGATAGGTATTGATAAACACAATAAAACTGCATTTTTACTTTTCCGAAATATTGAAATTTTCAATATCGTACATAAGCGATTGTGGGCGTTAGAGGGGGCGTGGCACCCTTTTGAAACAAACTTGCGCTGCGTAGGAACTCCTAGAATCTACATGCAAAATTTCAGTCTTCTAGCTTTTATAGTAGGGATGTCAAAAATATATCAAAATATCAATATA